CATTTTCATTAAATTCAATTTATTATGACAAGATTATTTTCCTTAACTTATTTGATTCTTACGTATCACGATTGGAGAATATCATCTAGATTTAATACCGTTTGAAGATGATTTATTGTCTTTAGAGTTGGATAATACCTTTAAAGAGCTCTACTTGGTATTTATGTTTTATAACAGTAGGGGTTATAAAAACAAAGTTTTGACCAACCTAAATTATATAGGACGGTGATTTTACTTCAATTTATTATGCGTCAAGAGCACTTATGAAACTCCAGACAAAATTCGGCCTTTTCCCGAGAGTAATTGGAAAAGGGGATTGTGCTAAAGTTAGTAAGATTATATCTATCGGATTGAAATTATTCATATTAATATATTAACTCTTATTTTCCCTTCTAGCATCTAGCTGATATGTTACTTCGTATGCGTAAGGAAGTTGCAGTAGACGATCCATCGTCCACATTAACAGTATCACAGAGCATCGATTCTCTAATTATTATAGATCGATCCGTTGATCTCATTACTCCTCTTTGCACACAATTAACTTATGAAGGATTGATAGATGAAGTATTTAGTATAAGGGCTTCACACGTAGAAGTTGATTCATCTATTGTGGGCCCTGCCTCACAAAAATCAGCTGCTGCAACATCAGCAACTACATCGACGACTACCACCACACCGGCACAACCTTCGCCTCCACCTCCAGCTAAGAAAAAAAAGATTGCACTTAACTCCAGTGATAAATTATTCGTTCAGTTGAGAGATATGAATTTTGCAGTTGTAGGAGGAGTTCTTAATAGAGTTGCAAAAAGGATCAATGAAGATTATGAAGTATGCTTGATTAAATAATTTGACCTTTATCAAATGTTTACAAATAACTAATTTATATATTTGCATACTCATGCAAAATAGGTTAGACATCAAGCAAAAACAGTTGCACAGATTCGTGAATTTATAAATAAATTAGGAGGGCTTCAGTCTGAACATCAATCATTAAGGACTCGTATCCTTATTTTATCGTCAATCAAGTTAGACTACTAAATACTGAAAAAAAAAATTTTTCTTTTATTCCTTAACCAGTTTTAATTTTAGATACTGGTATAGCTGAAGAAATTATGGCATACACTGTTACACATGAATTTAACAAAGCTCTTGAGGTGCAACAAAGTAAACAATTTATTAAATTTTAATACATGATATTATTTATACAAGAAATATTTATGATTCGCAAAACTTTTCGATTTTTACAGACTTAGCTGCAGGAATAGATATAAACTTGCAAAATGACTATATTGAAGAAATGATCAACCGGCAAGTGCCAATTGTGCAAGTGTTAAGATTGTTGTGTCTACTGAGCATTGTAAATGGTGGCTTGAAGCAGAAGAGCTTTGAATTTTTTAAAAAAGAAATTTTACAGGTACTTTTTTATTTTATAATAGTATCATCTGAAAGCTAAAATTAACTAACGAATATTTACTGTTAAGACTTATGGGTTTGAACATCTTCAAACACTCTTGAATTTGGAACGCTTAAATATGTTCGTTAAACAAGGATCCACTAATAATAAGTTTAGTAGCATCAGAAAACAGCTTCAACTAATTGTTGATGAGGTTGATGAACATAATCCACAGGATATATCTTATGTATATTCAGGATATGCTCCGTTGAGCGTACGCCTGATACAATGTGTAACGAAAGGTTGTCCAACATCCATTAACCCCGTGGGTACTGGCTCGGCTAATAATGTTGTTGGGACTGGCGTTTCTACTAGAAGCATCGGATGGAAAGGGTATGAAGATGTTCTGAGAATGTTACCAGGAAAATCATTTGATGAAGTTCAGAGACTTGATGATGGAACTATCCGTTCAAAAAGTAAATA